CCATTTAAATTTTAACTTTTCTTTCCTGTTTTAATATTTTACTGTACACCAGCCAGAATGCCTGTGAGGTGGATGAGTGGTTCCAAAAATGTGTGTGTGTGTGTGTGTGTGTGTGTGAGAGAGAGAGAGAGAGAGAGAGACAGAGAGACAGAGAGACAGAGAGAGACAGAGAGAGAGATGATAAGATGTCTCTTTCATTCCTATCTATCATATTCCTATATCTTTATCTTTGAAGATATTGTGCATTTATAGTTTTTAAAGATATTGTGTATTTATAGTTTTCACCTACCATACCACACAAAGGTAAAAAAATCTTATATCTTCACCATATCCTTATTGCTGCTCTTTAAGTATAAGTTCATCCATCATTAAAATATTTAGCAAGACTAACTCCAACAGAAGAAGACTCAATATTATTTTTGTTCTGAATCACTTATTTATCATTACAGAACTTTAGCATCCTTTTATTCATATTCCACATACACCATAAGTGTCAAATTCACATCACTATCTGTAGAAAAGTCTTCATTGTCTGTTATGGACTGTACTGTTCTGATCAGACCCATCAAGAAATATTAATAGAAGCAGACAACTAGGACACAATTTTTGTTGGCAAAATCTATTTCATTTATCAGAGGCTTAATGAACTGAGTTAAGTGGCAAACTGTGGCTCAGATAGACAACAAACAGGAAGAATTAAGGTGCAGGATGCTTTTTAACTCACCCCAGAAATTTGTGATGCATCCAAAAAGCAAACTTGCAAGTTCTTCCCATATAAAAATTCAATCCGACTAGTCTGCCGCCTCCAATAATTGTATTTAGGAACGAGGCAAGGCTTTTTAGGAGTTGCTATTATTAGACCACCAGGAGTCAGAAAACCTTGCAAACCTTTCAAATGTCATCCAAACTTCCTGCCTTCCCCTAATATAAAGGTTTGTAGGATTGATATGGAATGAAGGCTTACAACATCCAAGCAAAATCTCCCTGTTGCTATTTTTCAAAAACAGTAGCAGTTCACTTTTTTTTTTTTCCAGAAAGCAAGATCCATCTCAGAGCAGTGTTTAACATTTTGCTGCCTTTTAGGTGTACAAAAATTGCAACACCGAGAATGAAATTATACTTTAGCTGGCCAAACATGCCTCCAAACGAATGTCTCTCTATAGCCCAACGATGTTAAGATGAGGAAAATAGTTTTTCAAGAGACAGGCTTGTCTAGTAGAATGGCACTCAATAACAATTTGAAAGAAAATGAAACAAATGAATATATAAGGGTGCATCTTTCCTCCCTTCTCTGCTGCACTTCTATTCTTTTGCCCAGCTGAAAACTAAAGGAAGCAAAGAAACCTCTCTTACCCATTTGCACCCATTCAACACAGCTTTGCTTTGAATCAGTATGATGACGAGGTTTGCGCTCTGAGCCTCTAATCTGCAAATGAAAAGCCAAGCTGTCCTCTAATTCCAGCATCTAATTTCTGCTCTAGACTAGGAGGCCTTACCCAGGACCAAGGGGACTCAGTATCTTCCGATGGCATCTTGAGATGATTCTCTTCCTCCATTGCCAGAGGGTTATGCTGCTAAGGACGCTAACGCTGATTTAAGTTTCAACCTGAAACAAAAATCCTGCCTTAAAGCAATGCGCCGTTGACAACAAAGATGCAGAGAGAATAATTTCCCCAACGATTCTGTTTGCTTGCTAGTTTAGCCTGCTCATGTTCTTGGAACCTTAAGCCTGGAAGAGAAACATGAGCTCTGTAATCTGGTACCCGCTGGCTTGGCAGCTGACTCCTCAAGTAGCCCTGTTAAGTCATAAGCCTTCTGGAAAAGGTGTTTACGTGTCCGGAGAAAAATAACTACCAATGTCTTGCATCGGGATGAACAATTCAGATTTATTTTTTTCATTAAGGGCGAGGAAGGGGATGTGGTGCAAGATGGAAGTTGATAACTGTGGTATTGTTCAAAAAAAAAAAGAGAAAAGAACCACTGGGGTTCTACTAGACCAGGGGTAGGCAACCTCGGCTCTTTTATGACTCATGGACTTCAATTCCCAGAATTCCCGAGTCAGCCATGCTGACTCGGGAATTCTGGGAGTTGAAGTCCATGAGTCATAAAAGAGCCGAGGTTGCCTACCCCTGTACTAGACTATGATAAAAATTTCTAATATTTAAAAATATGATTATTCATCCAAGATGAACCTTATAAACCAGAGGGCAGCAGAAGCCATTTGGAGGTCATGTGAATCTGGTTATGGAAATTGGCAAAAATACCCTGTTTAGCATGGGACATTCAGACGTATTTCCTATAGCCCTGACCCACTAAAAATAATAACAGCAGCAAACAAACTTTCTTGTATAACAAGTTGTTTCAGACACGATGCTATGAGCTGTTTTGTGGTTGCACAATTGTAGCTCTCTGTAATAGATTTATTCTTTAACATTGTTCAAAGCTCTCGTGGTTTTGTTCCCCAAAGAAATAACCGAATTATCAAATATGGGACATTGCATCTGGATTATTTTATTTTACTGGGGGGGAGGGGGAATCTACCAACTTCCGCTGAGCCAGATTTCATAAGTGTATCTTTGGGTTATGGTGCACAATCAGTGTGGGCTCTGCTAAAAAAAAAAAAAAAAGGCAATGACCAGACTCCTTAATTTAAGTAGTGCAGGCCTGGTTTTCTTTTTTAAAATAGTGGGATTTAAAAGTGCTTATCTCTGAACAGATCTCAGTCAATATAGATGAAGTGCTTAACACTTTTTGCCACTGGAGAAATTGAATTACAAGCATGAATTACAAGCAGCGTCATGTTCCTTTACAAGAATGTTCCTGAAAATTAGACACTTTAATTTTAATTAAAACTTTAAAAAATGAAGAACTCATTGCCCATCAAAGAGTTAGATAGGACAATCCATTTGTCCTTTTCTTATTGTGATTCATTGCCAAGTCCTTTGACGGATGAAGTTTTCCAGCATTTAACCTTCTGATGATTCCTTATCCTCATTCCAGTGCTGATAACTGTAAATACTGTTATAAGCAGAAAAAGAATTGAACTTCAAATTGCACTGGTCTGCGGAGTTGGTTCCCCTCTGCTGGTTTAACCCTAGGAAAACATCTCTTTTTTTGTGACAGAATACAAAATGTCAGAAAACATTTCCTGTGGTCAACTGCTGATGTTTGTGCTGTACAGTCCAACATGGGCTACTTTCAAGGCAGATACATCTCTGAATATGTCTCTGAATTTTTAAACACTTTTCCTTTGCATTAGAAGTTCTACCATTTTTGAAGGTTTTTAGGGAATCTGGAAAGCAAATGTCTTTGAAACAATGATCCAACAGGTCGTGAGTTGTCTACCATACTATTAAAACTCTCCTGTTTCTCTGTGTATCTTTAGTGGATGAAACAGTGTGTTGTAGGCAACAGTTATTGAAGGAAGGTACTTCAAAAGGGCTAATTTATAAAATACGTCCAAAATCTAGGCCCGTGACTCCTGTGGACTTGAAATCTGGCAAATTTTATAAAACATTTTATACATAAAAGTTATCATAAAGCATTTGTGACATAATACAAAATGTCATAAAACATGTCCTGTGGTCAACTGTTGATATTTGTGATATATAGTTCAACATGGGCTACTTTCAAGGCGATACATCTCTGAATATCTCCCTCTGTCTCTTTTCCAATGAGATTAGGTATTAAAAGCCCTGTCGTTGTTGAAGGCGTTGAGGAAACTGGAAAGGGACTGTCTCTTTACCAGTGTCCTATAAATGCCTCCACTTTAAAAATTATGTAGAACAAACGACGATTCTGAAACAAGAATGAGGAAAATCATTACAGTAGAATCTTCTAGAACAGTGGTTTTCAACTTTTTTAATGCCGTGACCCCAACCGGTCGTAAGTCGAGGACTAAACCGGTCATAAGTCGAGGACTAAACCGGTGGTAAGTCGAGGACTACCCAACCGGTCGTAAGTCGAGGACTTTCCCTGCCCGGGAGCGCCACACATGCGTGGTTCCGCCCCCTGCGCCGGCCGAGCCGTAGCTGGCAAGCGGCAGAGACGGAGCAGGCCGACCACCAGCTGGCCCAGCCCAAGGGAGGTAAGGCACCCGCCAGAAAAGGGGAAAAAATGGCGGACAAAAAAAATGGCAGACAGCCTTGCTTGGCGACCCCCATGAAATGGTCGATCGACCCCAAATGGGGTCCCGACCCACAGGTTGAGAACCACTGTTCTAGAATCATCCATCCTGTCTTGTGGCCTATCCAATGTAATGAGGACGGGCTTTGCATCATCTCAGCAATGACAAGGGGCGATTGTGGAAAATTACTAGAAGGGTCAAGGGCTAAGCATCCATTTTCATTAAAATGGAAATATAAGGCACAATCCCTTGGACAGTTCTTTTCTGCAATTCCTACTAAGTCTGATACACACTGCCATGCTCTTCCCATTTCCCGTTCATTTCATTGGGGCTTGCAGGGGAAAAACTGCCCAGTTCATTTTTGCCTCTAGCACTTTACCCAAATCTTTTCACAGAGTTGTTCACTTATCAGCTGCATTGTATACTAAGAATGGAGCATTTTCTGTCTACTGACTTCTAATTCGACAAAAGGTTAAGAAGGCAATCTACTTCTAAATGTTGAACTATACCACCCCAAATATTTCATGACACAATAATCTCTATAATTTATACAACCAAAACAAAGGCAAGGAGAGCCTATAAACAATTCAGCTACAACAAGCAGCAATTCCATTCTGCTACTGACACAGAACGAACAACTTAAACATCTTAAATTATAAAAGATGCTGACATAGTCTGAAATTACAAACACAAATGTGTCAAATAAAATAGAATTATAATACAGATATTTCAAATTTGCCTACATTTTTTGTCTACATTGTGAGTTTCTTTTTTTTAAAACTTCAGCTGAACATTTAAGTTCCCCCACCATCACTATTTTCACAACTTATTTTTGGTTGGAAGAGTCTCCTTGAAGATGTCGGATAATTTCTTATCAAATATGCCGTCCTGTTAAAAAAAAAAGGGGGCTGTCTTCTTTGGCATTGGCAGTTTGAAACTCGTCTCTTAGCCGGAATTGCCACTCATCTTCCAGTTCTAGCCGGACAACAGTTTGGCGAAGGGAGTTCCTGTCTTGGCAAATGACACATAAGGTGGCCCCTGTGGGAATTATTGTTATTAGCATTTGTGTTACATATACACAACTAAAAGAAGAAAATATTAGTAGCTCAGGGTTGAACTATAGAGTCCTTGGTGCTCTCTGAGCTTGGTTGTTTTCATGCAGATGTTTCATTATCCAACTAGGTAATATCATCAGTGCTAGAAGGGAGTGTGGTTTGTTCTCTTTTTATATATTAGAGCAGTGGTTCTCAACCTTTTTAATGCCGTGACCCCAACCGGTCGTAAGTCGAGGACTAAAACGGTCGTAAGTCGAGGGCTAAACCGGTTGTAAGTCGAGGACTACCCAAGCGGTCGTAGGTCGAGGACTTTCCCTGCCCGGGAGCGCCGCGCATGCGTGGTTCCGCCCCCTGCACTGGCCAAGGCGTAGCTGGCAAGCGGCAGAGACGGAGCAGGCCGACCACCAGCTGGCCCAGCCCAAGGGAGGTAAGGCACCCACCAGAAAAGGGGGAAAAAATGGCGGACAAAAAAAATGGACAAAAAAAATGGCGGACAGCCTTGCTTGGCGACCCCCGTGAAACGGTCGATCGACCCCAAATGGGGTCCCGACCCACAGGTTGAGAACCGCTGTATTAGAGGCTTGCCCAGTCAGTATTGGTCAGTATTAATTATGGAACCTAATCAAGGAACCACTAAGAACACTCCCACCAATACTGGTAGGGCCAGCTATAAACCACATAAATAGAGAGAACCCCCCCACACACACACACTTCTAGCACTGATTATGTTACCTAATTGGGTAATGAAACATCTGCAAGAAAACAACCAAGCTCAGAGAGCACCAAGGACCCCCACATATATACAACTCTCTGAGCTAAAAAAAAAAAAAATCATACACAACACCCTGAACCCAAATCCCAGCTCTCAACGATGGAATCATTTAAAAGATAGTTATCAGTCAAAAGGAGAAGCGCTGAAAGGACAACCTTTTAGCAATCAAGAGGCACCAAGCAATCTCTTAGAGGACAGGTGTCAAACTCGCCACGTCACGTGACGTATTGTGACTTTTTTTTTGCAATGCTAGAGTTGGGGTGGGAAGGTGGGGAGATGTATGAAACTAAAGGGAAAGAGATTTGGGAGATGTAAATGAAAAGAGAGGTCTGAGGAAAAGTCACAGCCTTAGCTTTAAGGAAAAGGTTGCATATTTAGCACCAAGGAAGCAAGGACTGACAATCATAGATATGTGGTAATATTAAGAAAACCTGGTTCTAACCAATTTTCAATTATTATTAAATATTTATTTGGGTTTCTTGTTGAAACAAAGAAAAGAGAAGGAAACCAAAATAATTTCCAGTATAAGAAAGATTGTTTGGGGAGGGAGGGAGGGAGGAAGCAAGGGAGGAAGGAAGGAAGGAAGGAAGGAAGGAAGGAAGGAAGGAAGGAAGGAAGGAAGGAAGGAAGGAAGGAAGGAACCATCAGAACAATTAGGGTATATAACAGTATTCTTTATAGAACATTTGATTTCCTTGTCGGCAATTAGATTAGTCAAAATGGTATTTTAAAAACAGATCAGGTTCCTTGTTCCCAGGAAGCCAATCTATTCCTGCACTGAATAGATCAGGGGTGTCAAACTCAATTTCATTGAGGGCCGCATCAGTATTGCAGTTGCCCTCAGGGGGCCAGGTGGGTGTGGCCAGCGTGGGTGCGGCCTACTGGGTGGCCGTGGATGGAGTGGGCATGGCCTACTGAATGGGTGTGGCCAGCTCTACATCATTCGCATCAAGGATGCCTGTGGGGGCCTGGGCAGGAGTGGGACAGATCTGAGGGTCTCTGACCGAAGGGAGTGGGACCAGGGCAAGTGCCAAGGCATGGTCCAACGGAGGAGTCTCACTGTTCCTCTCAGGCCACGCGGAGGGGGGGCTTAGGGAGCTAAGACTGAATGTGTTTCAGCATAGATGGCCACCACAAAATTGTACATTGGCTCCCGGCTGGCCTGGGCCAGGGCCAAGGCAGAGGGGGCTGTTCCCTCACTGTTTCCAGGATGGCTTTGCGGGCCACATGAAACCACTTTGCGGGCCGCATCCGGCCCCCGGGCCTTTTGTTTGACATGTCTGGAATAGATTTTTCTTCCTGGAAGGTTCCTTTTTTTCCCCTGAGTAGTTTTTCGGGTAGGAAAGTTCAAGTATCAGAGACACAAATGCTTTTGTCCTGCCTGCCTGCCTGCTTCAAAGATGTCGAGTCACTCTATGTGCCAACAGCAACCTCTTACCTTTCAAAAAGTGGAATTTCTTCAAGAAGCTGGCTACAACAAAGGAATCACAGAGATACAGCAAGAGTCCACTGAATATCATCTCAGAGCAGCTGACGTTCAGAGAATGAGGCCGGGAACTAACATAACAAACTGCAATCTGTTGCAAGAGGAACAAAACGGCAAGAATGGTTTACTCTCCCATCCAGAGACAATTCAGGTTAGCATTTACTAAACAGTTATGGCCACAGAAACATCGACAGCGGTTTCAGATTGTGCAGGGTATTATGGAATCCATTTATCATTTGGATAAATGAATCCATTTTTCCAAATATTAGCAAATGCTTGGTCTCATCACCGCTCTCCTATAGCTAACACATATCCTTTTAATTTTATAAATAATTTGACATGCTACACTTAGGATAAGTTCTTTTTTTCTTACGTTTATGTAGTCATTTCATGACTGAATGGCCTTTAAAGAGAAGTTATATAAATCCCCTCATTTAACTTAATAACATTAAATTAAATTTAGCTAAACTGCAGAGGCTGGCTCTCCTAGGAGCCTGGCATCATCCCTAATCATGTGTAATCAAAACAATAGCCTCCCTTTTTCTTTTTTTGCCACTGCCTTTCTCTTATTTTATTGTTTCCTCTGCAGCGGGGGTCTTCAAACTTGGCCCTTTTATGACTTGTGGACTTCAACTCCCAGAATTTGTCAGCCAGGCATGCTGGCTGAGGAATTCTGGGAGTTGAAGTCCACAAGTCATAAAAGGGCCAAGTTTGAAGACCCCTGCCTTGCAGCAAACATTTGTTTCTTGCAAGGGATCTATCCTAAGGCACCCATAGATAAGTTACTCCATAACACTTGGTTGCTGCCTCATTCCGGAAAAGCCGGAAAACCCCATTATAGCAGGTAGCTGCACTGGTAGCTGCTATTCAGCTATTCTGCTTGGAATGGCACACTTGCTTTTTCTGGAAAAAAAGGGGGCAAAGCCCAACCACTTCAATCATGCCAGGAAAAACAGTTGGTTCCTCTCTGTTTCTGGGAGCTGAAGAGGTCCAAACCCCAGGAGCATTGTTTATCGGTAATCAGGCCAACCTTCTGGAATGGCCTCTTGGAGGCTTGTTTGTCTCCAATATTATCTGCCTTCTGGAACACGTTGAAAACAAGACTTTTCCAGAAGGTTTTTAGGACTCCTAGAATGTATTGGAGGAAAGGAACGGGATGGGAAGGAATTGCATTTATAAAGTGTTCTTGTCGTGCTACAATATTTGCTTATCTTCATGAGCTTCCAAGATGTTTTGGTGACTGTGGCAGGATATACATTTCATAAACAAATAAATTAAGAGACCTATAGCTCAGATAACAAGAAGTAGGCAGAGTCCACTTCTCAGATTCCACATCAGGCATGGGTAGCCTGTAGCCATCCAGGTTCTGTGAAATAACAATCCTAGAGGCAGGATGAGCAATAAAGAACAATGCTGGGAATTGAGGCTCAGCTACTGTGTTTCCCCAAAAGTAAGACCTAACCCAAAAATAAGCCCTAGTTTTGGGGTGAGACCGTGGAAAAGACACCCCCCCAAAAATAAGACCTGGTGCCACTTTTGGAGGCAAAAAAAATAAGACTGGGTCTTATTTTGGGGAAACACGGTACACTTGAAGGGCACGTGCACACGTGACGATGATGATGGCGATGATGATGATGATGATGTTCTTGTTATCCATTCAGTTGTATCCAACTCTTTCAATCTTGCACTACTTGAGTTTTTCTATGCACTGGCTGGTGTTAGCTTTGATGGTGTCACTGTGTTCTTTGACAGCCTGGTTTCCTTTTATCTCTAACTCTTCCAAACATAACTGCTTTCTCCAGTACACGCATGTATTTTATATTTATATACAGTATTTTAATTAATACGTAAGTTAATTACCTGTGGTCCTAAATTAAGGTAACAATCCACAGACAGCACTGGGTGGCTGTAATTCTTCAGTGAAAGAGGGAAGAAGCGATAGCTGTGATACTGGAGGTATTTTTCAAGCAACAACTGAGCAGGAGCTGCCAAGAATGTATGCTTGCTGTCAGGGGCACATATATATTGAGCTGGACCAATACTCACTAAATTATCAGACACCTGAAAAGAAAACAATGATAGCGATTTATATTTTTTAGCACCGATTTTTCAAAATCAGGTTAAAAATACATGTGACTGAATAAAAATCACATACAGCAATACAATTATATAACTGACTGAGGGAGAAAAATTATTTCAGATGTCTCACATATTTGAGAGTATGTATGTAAACACGCACATAGATACAAATATGAACAAACATTTTCAGAAGCGTGTTGAGAGCTTAGATATCACTTTGGCATAGGGACATGATTGCAATTGTCTGGGCCTTTTGACTGCTTGTTTCCAAAATAAACACAAAAATCTTTTCAAAGATTTATTTATTACTTTTTGTGGCCACCCATCTTGCGAACGCGACTTAACCGGTTAGAACAATAAAAAACAATATTATCAACTAATAAAAACCTACAATGGTCACCGGATAAACCAAACAAAAACAATAACAAAAACCTCTAAAGAGATCTTCAATGCTTTTTACAAAAGCCCTGCAGGATTGGGGCCAACCTGATCTTGAAGATATGGTGATCCAAAGCACAAGTACCCTTCATTTGATTTATAGGACTCCCCAGCTCAAATAATGTAGCTTTGGGTGCTATGCACAAAAAGCATATATATATATATATATGCATGTATGTATGTATATGTTTGTGTGTGTATATATGCATGTGTGTGTACACAAACACACACACACACACACATATATATATAGAAAGATTTCTTTCTCCCATATTTGGGTGCATCAAAAAGCACTCAAGGTTATATATGTGTGTGTGTGTGTGTGATAAAAAAACAATGAAAGCCGAACACCAAGAGGAATATAAAACTTTAAAATTTAATGGGCCAAGCTTTCGTCAGAATCCTCTGACATCATCAGGGCCTTAAAACAGCAATCTGGAAGAAGCCTTTATGCAACTGTTCCTGCCGTATCTGGAGCAAGGCACCTACGTCAATATAGGGGATCTCCTTGAGTGCCCTGCGCTTTCTGTTCTCCGCACTCTCCCTCCGGCAATTATTTTAAAAATAATTTTAAAAATCCATGTAATATTAAAAAAACTATCCAAAATATAAAATGATGAGCAAACAGGATAATTAGATAACCAAAAGGGACTTGATTTAACTGAATCCACCCTCCAAAAGGCAAGTGTTAACAGTTTTTCTAAAGACAAATAAAGTTGGTGTTTGGTGTATATCTGGGGGTGTGGGGGGAGGTGAGATCATTCCAGAACAGAGGAACAGCAATCAAAAAGACACATACTTCTAGGTTGCATGAGGTGGCAAATTTCAAAAGAGGGAACCTGGAGCATTTCCTCCTTGTGAGAGTATGTGCGGTGGGCAGATGTTCTTGAAATAAGTCAGTTCTGCAAGTTCCCAGTCTTTTGCTATATAGGGCTTTAAAGGTGGTAACCAGAATCTTGAATCTCACCTCAAAATCTATTGGGAGCAGAACAGTGATGTCACATAGGCATAATGAGCTGTGGCTTCTAACTAACGGCACTGCTGCATTCTGAACCAAATTTCAGATGGCTGTGCAAGCGAGTGTTGCAACATTCCAACTAGAAGGCAACTAAGCCACGAATGTCCATGACCAAAGTCTCCCAAACCAGGAATAGGTGGAACTGGTGCACAAGTTGCAGTTGTGCAAAGGATGGAGCCTAGCTACAGTTGCCACCTGCTCTTTGAGCAACAGCTGACTGGAATTCCCTTTGCCAAACTGCTGTTCGGCTGGATCGCGTTGTAGTTTTGGAGGCCCGAGCTGATCCTAAAATCGGAACTCCCGTTTAGATCATCCCATCGCTTAACCTCAGAATCTACTGAATGTGTAACTTTGCAGTTAGTAAGTCCTCCATTCCTGAAAGTCTCACCTTTGATTTGATATGAAAGGACCTTTGCCCTCCTACTGTTATTTGTTTCTTCATGAGACTGAATTGATTGAACCGGCAGATGCTCAAGCCTGCACTGTGGACACGTAGATTGAAATCCACATCATCACACACAAATCTGTTGGGAAGAGCAGGAGATTCGGCATTTAAAGAACAGTGTGGATTTTAATAGAAAGCCCCTATGAATACAATTAGAAATACTGTACTGTATGGGCCAAGGTTGGCACCGATGGTAACAGGACCTGTTTAAAAGGCATGAAATTGATATTTGTCCAAGGGAACTGAGATGGTCTGACATCACAGGGATATATCTAAGACAGTGGTTCTCAACCTTTTTAATGCTGCGACCCCCAACCGGTCGTAAGTCGAGGACTAAACCGGTCGTAAGTCGAGGACTAAACCGGTCGTAAGTCGAGGACTAAACCAGTCGTAAGTCGAGGACTACCCAACCGGTCATAAGTCAAGGACTTTCCCTGCCCGGGAGCACCGCGCATGCGTGGTTCCGCCCCCTGCGCCGGCCAAGGCATAGCTGGCAAGCGGCAGAGACGGAGCAGGCTGACCACCAGCTGGCCCAGCTCAAGGGAGGTAAGGCACCTGCCAAAAAAGGGAAAAAATGGACAAAACAAATGGCGGACAGCCTTGCTTGGCGACCCCCGTGAAATGGTCGATCGACCCCAAATGGGGTCGCGACCCATAGGTTGAGAACCGCTGATCTAAGAAGAAAAAAAACTGTTCCTGATATTAAATGGTTCACACAATTTCATACAGATCCAAACTACTGTAGCAGAAAAAATAATGTGCTAATTGATTTTTTTCCCAGTTCTTCTTGACTTATTTTTATTCCTTTAAAAAAAATGTATGCCAGATACATGACTTTAGTATATTTTAAAGATGTGACCCTAAATTAAAGAAGAATCATAAAATGGACAATATTCATCATCCTTCCGAATCAGTAAGCATAATGGAATGAGCTACCACAATACAACTCAGTTTCCTCCTGTCTGTTGTCCTCTGGATGTATTAAAATTGCCCTTAAAGTTACCCAACCATTGGGACTGTCTGCCACACCAGGTGCAAATGCTAGAAACTGTAATCTATATGTCACCTGGTTGGGAGGAGCTGGCTCCCTGAATCAGACTTGACTCACCTATTCTGGTTATACTGGACATTCTGGGTTAGCTCCACATTCAGCATGATGAAGTCATGCACATGGCAACATGAGAATGGCTCCTTGATATCTCCGCTCCTAGTTTTACTGGACCATTTCCTCATGCCAATCAAGGCATAGTGGGTGACACTGGGAGTCGATTCAATGTGCTGAAGAATTTGCTTTAGGGAAATATTCTTTTCTCTCCAGGTATATTCACTGCAAGAGATCAGGAAGTAATTTCAAGTCAGATTAGGTATTAGGACCCAGATTGTTGGAGGACAATAGGCTGACTCTGTAAACCGCTTAGAGAGGGCTGTAAAGCACTGTAAAGCGGTATATAAGTCTAAGTGCTATTGCTATTTAAGGGGGGAAAAGCTTTGTTAGAGAATTTTAATTTTCTCTGTTGGTAAAAATAAATCAGAAGCTCTCACAGTTGACTGCATTTAGCTGATTCAAATAAACTCTTTATATTCATATAAAATTATTTACAATACCATACATTCTTCTTTACAGCAACATAGCACAAATGAAGACTTCTTACAGCAGAGACAGACCTGAGACTGAAACTGAAACAAACAAAATCCAGCTTCTAACTCCAAACCTTTTGCACAGACTCAGTAGCACTTTCTTCACATTGGCTGACTGAGTTATCACATGACTCTTCCTGCTCATGAATATTCCAACAAGCTTCACCACACCAAAGCAATAGCCATTTACCTTTTTCTGTCACCAGAACAATCAATTTCAACAGCATTCCACATCACACAGGAGTCATCGGAGATGACAATGAAAGGCCAAATATCTTGAGGCTTTATGCCGAGTTCTTCCTGCCGATTTCGTTCCAGCTCCAAATTATGGTAAGACAGCTCTTTTATTAGGAAGTGAGCAGCTCCTACAACCAAGCCAGAGAAGCAAAGTGAGCTGTCAATAAGGGAAAGTGGAAGTTTCATTTTAGCTCAACGTCTTTAGCTATATGAAAAGATTGTTCTCGCACAATCAACATTTTCTTGGGCTGCTCAATATATTTAGATGGTTGTTCACCTGACTTGTAACAGATACATTAATGGGATCTACTACCCATGACTACATTTGTACAATAACCAAATCAAAATAGCCTTTGTGTGTTGTGCATTAAATTTAAGTCATAAAATCATCCACGGTCATAATTTGAAAATACATATTTATAACATTTTTTTTTCATTCAGAGTGTTATACGGTAATATCATAGCCACCAAGCCTACAAATAAAAAGTGTTTGGCTTCGTTTGTTATTGATCATTCTAAACTGAAGCTTATATGGAAAGAGAAGAAGAGGATAACTAGCAGCAAGATGGACAACTCAATTACAATGGCAATGGCAGCACTGTTGGAAGAATTAAAAGGCCAGGTTGAGGGGTAGATCATCTTGGAGAAAATCTATCCATGAAGCCACTAAGAGTCAACACTGATTTGATGGCACATAATCAGAGTAAAGTCGTTCCTCACCAATTAATCAACAGTTTATACAATGAGCGTTTCAATCCTTTTGTGGGCAAAATCTGTATTTTATTGATTTATTGATGTTGGTGGCCAAGGGCTATAGTAGAGAATAAGCTGAAATTATATCATTGAAAAGAGCAGATTATTTTGCTGCTTTATACAAATTGGCAGCATAATCGTGGGATGTTTTTGGAGGCCACAAAAAGAGGCTCAAGCAGGATTACATTTTCCCCAGAGTTTTTCCTGCTTTAATTATTCTACCAGTCCTGCCAGCTAAAATTAATACCCTTATTTTATTCACAGAAGTAACTAATAAAACATGTACCTACCTACTCCAGCACTGTTGAAAATACTTGGCAAAACAAGCATGATGTGATTGGGCCAATATTTTTTATATATTGCCATTTCATATTCTTTGATAACTAAAACATGCAAATGGTTGGCTCCGTCCATTGCATGATAAAGATTAAAAAGTCCGTGTTCATGGCGTCCTGTTGTAGGAGTAAAAGTTGGGCTCTTTATGTAGTCCTGGCTCTGTAAAATTAGGGATGTATATGATATTATATGGTTTAATATAACGCATTGTAATACAACATATTGTAAATCTAATATTTACAAAAGCCTATCAACAGTATGGGTAAATGATTAGAAAGAAGAGGAAAGGAAAAGTGCTATTCTACTCAAAGTCAAAGAACCATGTGAAAATGTAAAGGAAGAAAGTGACAGGGCTCCATGCTTCCCCCAGTCTCTATAAAGCCAAATGTCTAGTATGTCTAAAGTTTATAGTGAAAACATTAGAAATATTTTAGATAAGAAAAAAAAGCCTGGTTCAATTAATTATTCAGTTAGAGAGTGGTAATTGCAACTAATTCTCCTTTGGGAGAATGAGAACTGAAAGAAAAAATAAAGAGGATAATTAAAACTACCTACTGAATTGTATTTGCTACTAGCCAAAGTAAGACAAACATACAAGATATGGGGATGGGAACCCATATGCTAACATACTAGCATCGTTGTTAATTTTGCATTAAAACGAATAATAACTATACAATTATCCTCACATTCATATCTTAGCCAATTAACTACAGACACAAATAGATAAATATATAGAAATATATACTGTATATATTGTTTCCCGAAAAATAAGACCCAACCAAAAAATAATCCCTAGCATGATTTTTCAGGATGCTCCTAATATAAGCCCTACCCCCAAAATAAGCCCCAGAGGCGAGGCAAGTGGTGAGTAGAGGTGACCAGGTGGCCATGGGCGTTACGGGTGGGCGTGGCCACTTCACATCACTTGCGTTGGGGGCACCTGTGGGGGCCCAGGTGGGGCTGGGAAGGATCCAGGGGTTTCCGGCAGAAGGGGCGGGACCAAGGTGGGTGCCAGGGCCTGATCCACTGGAGGACCTCGCCTACCCTCTCAGGTCACGCAGGGCCCCCGAACAGCGGCATGGGCTGCCTGGGGCTCTGAGCGGTGGGCACCTGGCCCTTCAGTTCCTGGAGCACCGGGACCATGCGGCACAGCCCCGTTTCCCCAAAAGACTTTCTGTCTTTGCCTGCAACTGCATGGCTGAGATGGGGCAGGCAGTTGCACGGTCACCCGCCGTGTCTGGCCCCTGGCATCTCTGCCTCCACCTGTTGCTGGGAGGGCCAGCCCAGCAGTTGTGGCACTTGGACACACCTGTGCTGCGCGGGCTGCAGAGTCCCAGCTGCCTCTAGAATCCATAGCCCGTGCAGCACAGATGTGTCCAAGTGCCATGATCGCTGGGCCTGCCCTCCATGCAGCAGGTGGAGGCAGAGACACCGGGGGTGGTACGCGATCTGGCCTGCCAGATGTGCCAGGCAACTGCGCAGCTGCCTGCTTTGTCCCAGCTACGGGCAAAGACAGGTGGTTTTTTTGGGGAAGCAGGGCTGAGTCGTGGGGTCCCAGCACCCCGGGAGCTCAAGGGCCAGGCTGGGTACAGCTCGAGAGGGTTGGCGAGACTCCTCTGGTGGATCAGGCCCTGGTACCCACCCTGATCCCACTCCCCTCTGCCAGAAACCCATGGATCCCCCCCAGCCCCACTCAGGCCCCCACAGGCACCCCCCGACACGAGCAATGATGAGCTGGCCACGTTTTCTTGACTGTCCAGTCTAGCCTGTATCTCCCCCATGCCTCTGCCTCCACCTACTGCTTGGAGGGTGGGCCTGTGGCCACCGCGCACTCGCTGCCTCCTGTACATGAAAAAATAAAACATCATAAGTCCTAATAGGTCTTTTGGAGCAAAAGTAAATATAAGACCCAGTCTTATTATCAGGGAAACACGGTATATATACAAACACACACATACACATACACACACACACACACACACACACATGCACACACAAAGATGTGCACACATACATATATGCACACACATATATAAACAAAAATATATACATACAGTATGTATGTACGTACATACTGTTTTATAGTTGGACTGTAAAATTTAATAATGGGAAATTTAAGGATGGGAAAGGACTCAGTGACAGAGCACATGCTTTTCATGTTGAAGGCCTAGGATCTCCAGATACAGGTAAAACAGAAAATCTCTGTCTAAAACTTTGGCGAGCCACTGGCAATCAACAGTACTAAGCTCAATAAACCAAGTGTGTAACTTGATAAAAAGTAGGCCCGCTGTGTGTTTCTATGTTTAAGCAAAATAAAATCATATCTGATTACTCTGTCATCCAGAAGTTCATTCTATTTGATAAAAGAGAATTTGCTGTATGAATTATTTTAAAGGAAAAATGAGCTTCAAGGACATTTTAATGCATGCAAAGTAGCATTCTTGCACTATTTAAGAAAAACCCAGGGTATATGTGAATGTCTTTCCAAACATGATGGAAAATTTTGAAAGGCCATTTTAAACCCCTGTTCAGCTCTAGTTTTCTTACTTGATAGTTTAGGGCAGGGGTCTTCAAACTTGGCCTTTTTATGACTTGTGGACTTCAACTCCCAGAATTCCACAAGTCATAAAAGGGCCAAGTTTGAAGACCCCTGGTTTAGGGGTTATCTTCTATAATAAGATCAATCAATCCATCTATACTATCACCTGGAAGCAGTTTAAATTCTAATCCCCTAGAATAACAGTTTTGCAAATTGCTCTTTATCTACCTGATCTGTGACAAGAGGCAATCTCATACTTTCCAGCTGCCTTCCTGGATGGCTAAAGACAAAATGGTGCTCCTTCGATTTAGGGATAATGAAGTGTAGCTGAATTTCTTCTCCAAGCATTGAATAGGAAAAGGCAAAAGCATGCAAGGTAGATTCATAAAGCTGAGGAAAAAAAGGATACAAGTGTAACATACCGCATTTGCTCTTTTTGACAGCTCTGATATTGATATATGCTGTTGACTATAACAGTGGCAGAAAAGCAAACCACACCTTAATACAATAAACAGGTTGCATTAATTAATACAGATTTTTATGTTCCAACCCCCAACATCTTTTAATAGATTCAAAGAGATACACTTACTTAAACTGGTGATTATTTAAGGTATAAAATGGAACATCAAGAAGAATAGTTTCAGCTGGTATCAGAATGGATACATTTCTGAATCTGCTACATTTTGAAATTTATGCAGATTTTGGTTAGAATTGCAGTATTGCAGGCAAACTCTGCCCATAGCCAGGCATTCGATTCCTTTGATCCTGACCAGTTCAAGGTTGACTCAGCCTTCCATCCTTCCGAGGTCGGTAAAATGAGGACCCAGATTGTTGGGGGCAACTACGCTGACTCTGTAAACCACTTAGAGAGGGCTGTAAAGCACTGTGAAGCGGTATATAAGTCTGAGTGCTATTGTTATTGAGGAATGAGTTCTTTAAAAAAACTAGCTGTATATATACGTATGCAGTGGTGGGATTTAAACATGGGAACAACCGGTTCTCTGTGTGGATGCCGCTTCCGGAAGTCCATTCTGGGCCTGGGCAACAAAAAATTAGCTACCGGTTCTGCCGAAGTGGTGCAAACTGGCTGAATGCCACCACTGTACGTATGTATTTAAAAATGCTTTCAGTTTCATGAGTTCATTTGATGGCAGGACTAAGTCCATCTTGGTAGGTATTTGAAACAGTTAAGCAGGGCTGAATTGAGTACTTGAAAAGAATACCAGTAGGAAATCTGGGATTTCACTCTAGACCAGGGGTAGGCAACCTTGGCTCTTTTATGACTCGTGGACTTCAACTCCCAGAATTCCTGAGCCAGCATAGCCTGGTAGCCAAGGTTGCCTACCCCTGCTCTAGACTTACATTGTGAAGTTGAAAAAAGTTTCCATTTGCTAAGTGATTTGGTTTAATGAGGCTGACTCCTAGATTATTAGCAAAGTGGGTATAATATTGTGTCCTCAACAAAAGGACATGGACCATCCTATTCAATATAATATTGCATAAAACCATGCTTCGTCTTTTCCCAGTTTTTTAATCTGATGAATACTTCAGTAATTTCTGCTGTCCCTGAAATGTAATGAATTTTCTAATTGCAGATTCTATAAATCTTACCTGATACCTGGGATTAAAGCCCATATATTGATGACATTGTTCACAGTGATGGTAAGTGTTGTAAGCAGCATATTTGGATAATCTCATCCGAGTTGTCTGACGGCGCATGTACAGATCCTCCGATTTTCTCTTTGTTGATCTATCTGCACAAATGCATTTTGACTGTATCAGCTAAAAGGCGCACCCACGTCGACAAAGGGATGAGCACATCTTTGTTCATTAGCTCCTGCAATACTATACTAGCTTGCAACCAAAACAAGATTAAAAATGGGTTTTCCTTATGGGAGTAGAGGAATGTCAACCATTCTGTCAAAATATTGCCTTCTGTTAATGCTATTACTAAGCCCTTTTTAGAATATACGGTAGTTCTGAATAGTTATCCAATCTGGTGTCTTTCAGAGGTGTTCAGAATATTATTTAAAGACTTCCAAGCCAACATGTCCAAATACTGGACACTATTGCCAAGACTGGACTAAAATAATGCAGTTTTATTTTAATTAGTATCAGGTTTAGCTAATAACTTACTAGTTGCAAGTAATTGTGGATGGTTTAATAGTTCTGT